GGGGGGGGGGGGGGGGGGGTTCCTGGTTCAAGTTTAACTCGGGTGTGCGTGGTGCGTGGGTCGTGGTCAACCCCGATGAAAACGGGATTACCTTAAAGGCGAGGCAGGACGATTGATCAATCACCCCGCTAGCTTGGTTGGTACACACGTGCGCGCGTTGCGTGCGGAAAGACGTTGGTCAAGAAGACCCGGCTGGCGGCGCCAAGCCCCCCCCCCCCAGGGGGAGAGGGTGTGTTCTCTATTGCAGCTTGCCCGGGAAGGATCTGGGTGTGAAAGGGGGAGAGGGGACGCAGCCCCGTCGACGAGAGTGCTTGAACGCTTGGATGTGTTCGCAAATTTTCCCTTCGTGATGAGGTAGGGGCTTGAGCGGGGGGGGTTGGGGGGGTGGGTAGAAGAGTGTAGGGGTGGCGGCGTCGGGTACACGGTCGGAAGATGACCGTGTGTACAGCAGAATTGTGCATTTTGGGGAATTGAGTGCGTGGTATTTATACGTGACAGGCGCACCAAACTGTTTCTGCGCTGAGAAGGAAGGCATCTGCTGCGATGCCTGTCTTCTGAATTCTCTGGACCATGTCGGTATTGTGTATGTGCGTGCCCTCATCATGCTGGTGGACAACCTCCCCCAGGAATCATTTTTTTTTTTCCTGGGGGAGACGCTGCCGATGTAGAAGGATTGCTACATACTCGGAGGTTTGCGGTAAACACTGCTAGCTGTGGTCTGTTGCCGAGAACTCGAGGTCCAGGCACCACGGTTATAGGAAAGAGGGAGAAAAGATTGCCCGCAATTTTCGGATTGATTCATTGAACGCCCCACGGACTGCGGGGACCCACATTCGTTGTTTCCAAGATTCGCATATGAATACAATTCTTTACGGCTTTGTTCAGTCGCCGTGCTTAAACAAGACTCGACAAGAAAAGAGCGCGGCAGAGTTCGGTACTACGGTAGCTCTACGCGTATCGCGCTCTTGCTCGGCCAAGCTTTTTTGGACGGTCCTTGTCCTTGGCGGTGCTGTGCTTATTTGGAATGATAACAAACATGTCGTCTTTCTGCTGTTAGTTGTCCCCTCGTCTTAGAGAGGTCGTCTGTAGCTGGGGAGCGCCCTGTTGTTAGAGTGGTTAGACGAGACTAGTTAGTATGCTTGCTTGAGCCCCAAACGCCATTATTTCACCTGTTAAAAGCAAAAGGCCCGCGCGGACCCACGTGTTACTCACGGCACTCTTTTACTGAATAAATTTCTATGCTGGTGACTACTACCATAGAGAAGAGTGGCAGCCCAACAAGCTCTTAAATACGACTGGTTGCTGTTGAAAGAAAAACACTCAAGGACCGATGCTTGGTCCGGGGGCGAAAGAGGCACGAACGGCGGCGAAAAACTGCCGTGGCGACTCAACGTTTTGGCAACCGTACGGCGAGAACGGCCACAGAGCACAGGCGGGGGCATGAGAGGAAGCAAACAAATCGCCCGCAATCACAGCACGCTGTCCCACGCGGAGTTTTCGGCTTCTCTCTCAAGCCGGACAACCCAGCAGGAACCAAGAGAGATAACCTAATACTAGCGAAGGTCGATTCCGTGAATTGCGGCCAGCGTAGATATGCCACCTTCAGCAGAGAGCGGGGATAAACTAAGTAGGCACATCATTCTTGTCATCTTTTAGCCCGACGATAAGACACAGCACGGGCACACAGCAGTTTCCGGTTGATTCACCGTAACATCATCAGGAAAACCTTCTCTCCGCAACCAACTGTATGCGAGCAAACAAAATTTATTCCCGCCTGCACTTGCTGGCCGACCCCAACCGATCGTTGACGTGAACGAGTCCTTCCTGCACATTCGTTGGTTGTGATGTAACTACACTAGACTACAGTACATCTCGCGAAAAAAACTCATATTTTTGCCTCTATAATCCTCTTTGATTCCGCCGCCATATTGCCGCTCTCCCTATCTCTGTCTCTCCCCCTTTCTCTCTTATCCAGACCGGTAGCTTAGCACCAAGTCAAGTAACAATCTTGACTGCCACGAGGAAAAAAATAACCAGCTACCCACCACCACACCCCGTCCCGGGTACCGCTCGCAGATGAACGAATCGATGCCGCCCACACCATCTCGATGGTGCTGCAAATGAACAACAATCGCAATTGGAATGGTACATTATCTTTATTGCTGCAGTGCTCGCGGCAGCGCCGATCAAGAAGAAAAACGTAACCGCAAAAGAAAAAAGAAAGAAAAAGGAACGGGCGGGCCGAACGCAGTACGCGGGAGTCCAACTACCAATACATTGCTAAAAGTCACACCCACAAACACAGAACAACAGACAACGAAAAAAAGACAAAAAATATCAAATATCAGCAACAGCAACAGCAACAGCAACAGCAACAGACCACAACAATAGCAGCAACAACAACAACACAAATCACGCGAAACTCAGCACGCCTTGGTCCTGGACCATGCTTGTTGGCAATCTGAGAGAGAGAGAGAGAGAGAGAGAGAGAGAGCTGAACTTTCGCAAGCGCAGACAAACCCGTACAAGCACTCGGAATACTTAAAAAAAAATGATGCGCTCGACTCTTCGTAAAATCCAACACCTCGATAGCGACAAGAACGTCCCATCAATCCGCCATAAGCCAGTCACTGCCCACCAGCAAAGCGTGAGGGACGAAACGAAATTAAACCCTAAATTCGCAGTTAAAAAAAGGATAAAAAAAAAAACACGTGCCTACAGAACAAAGAGAGCAGCCACCAATCCGAGAGCTCTTTCCTAATGGGAAGGAATCAGCGATCTCGTGATGGGGAGCGAACGGAACACGCAGTAAACCCCATCGCATCGTCAAGTCTCATTTCAATTCTCATGCCAACACGACGACGATGGTGCATCAGCAGGGAGGCCGATGGAAGTCGCAGTGGAGAAATTTGTGACGGCGGATACACAGAAAAACGACAAGAGACAGACGCGTCTGGTGACGTGGAGGCAAGAAGAAGAAGGAGAAGAAAAAGCACTCGTGTGCTTTCGTCACTCCAGGCAGGCTCAAGCGCTTGACGCGTTGTCGCCGCCGCTGTTGTGGACGCTCCTGCTTCTAAGCCTTGCTTGCTCCGTCCGGCTTCCACCGCGGCTACATACGACAGCCAGCCCGCTTGCTCCCTCACGTGACACTTTTTTTTCTTGTCTTTTGCTCGCTCCTCTTATCCGTAGTAGAAGCTCTCGTGTGTGTGTGTGTGTGTTCGTGCGTCGTGATTGGTGCACGCGACCTAGTTTCCGTTTGCCCCGGGAACACCGCCGCCTACGCTGCTCCCACTTCGCGCCATCGACGGCGAGGGTTTTCTAAGCGATGTCGGCCTGCTGCCGTTGCCGTTGTTGTCGTCGCCGCCGCCGCCGCCGCCGCCGGAGAGCGAAGACCGGCTCGACCTTCGACCGGAGCTCGACAAAAAGCCACCCCCGCTCCCTCCTCCGCCCAGCTTGCCACTGCTCTCATCACCGCCGCTGCTGCTGCCGCCGTTCAGCCGACCCCCGTCCGCTCCTTCTCCCTTTCGCCCCGCCACGCGCGTCTGCATCTGGGCGAGGATATCGTTGTTCCTGGCTGGGAGGCGGCTGGGGTCCGGAGGCAGCAGGTCGAGCATGCCGCAGAGCACCGTGAAGTACGGCTCCTTGGTGCCCACGAGCATCACCAGCTTCTGCATGTAGCTGTTGAGCTCCTGCTGCAGCCTCGCCATCTGTGTCATCGTTGTTTTTTTGTGTGTGTGGGGCGAAACAAAGCGGACCATGGCTAGCCGTCATGATGCAGCGTTAGTTGTTCCTGTTTTTCACGACTTGACACCCCGGTGGTCTAGTGGGTAGCCTCGCAGCCTGCTAAGGGCCAGGTCATGGGTTCGAGTCCCGGCAGAGAGAGTTTTTTTCTCACTAAATAAATCCTGGCCTAGGATGAAAGCGACGCGCTGCAAAGCTCGTTTGTTAGTCAACCATAGTCGACTTCGTAAGTCGCGAGGGAAGGGATTGCTGTACCCTTCTCGCGATAAAAATACCTCAGGCATGAACCGCAGGAGGGGGTCCAACCCCCCCCTCCTATGTGACCCCGGTTGGGTCGTCTAGCTAGTAGAAGTGGAGGATAGGGGCCAGAGGGGCAGACGACAGAGTCCAATGATGGGAGAAAAAAAAAACAAAAAAACACAATCATTACGCGGAAAACACACGGCATGGCACTCACACAGCACTTCCCAACGCAATCTCGATTCAACCAGAATAAATGTTTTTTTGGCCCTCTAACGGACGTGGTGTTTGTCGGCACACGGGGCAGGGAGGCAAAGACAGCGTTGAGCGTGCGGTACCCCGGAAAAAATGTGATTGTAGACATGGTCTGCTGGAATCCGAGGAGGGCAACATAATTGACACCGTCGCGCTACATGCTAATCCATCGGAAAAAATATACTTTTTCATACTCGCCACGACTCTCAAATGCAAGCGCGCCGTGTGTGCGCTCCTTTTAGCCCCCCGCTCATCCCCTCTCCCCCGGTCCCCCCTCCCCCCTGAAAAAAAAAAAATGACTTCGCCGGGCGACAGCAGAAAAAAAAACGTGGCTTAACCATCAAGAGACATCAGAAGCGGAGAGACACGCACGCCACCCCCGGCGATGCATGGATCAACCAATTCCTTTCCTCCCTCACCTGTCCCGCGTGGTCGCTGCCGATCTTCTTGCTGTTCGGACGGGCGGGCAAGGGCGGCATCATCTTGTGGAACTTGGTGTCCCTCATAGCCATCTTCAGCCGTCGGCGAAGGTCTTCGAAGTCGGAGAACTCGAAGAACGTGGACGCTCGAAGATATCGCCACTTGCTGTCCACCCGGTACACCTATTTTGCATTTTTTTTTTCAAGGCACCCCAAAAGACGAACCGGAAACGAGACACGAAATATGGAACGGAGGGACCGGGGAGGGGGGGGGGGG